CACACACACACAGGCTGTGTCAATTCGAATGAATCGCCAGGCCGCTTGCTTGCCCTCCATTGTCAGCGCCTTGACAAAGGTGTGTGTTGTGGTGCAGTAAGAGTTCCAGTGCTTCGCATCGATCCCTCGGCACCCACTGGAGACTGGCTTAGGGTCCCTGCACTTGGTCTCAAAAAAGTATTGCTTAAAAATGTTGTTATTAATGTTGACCTCTCCCAACACTGTCACCTCTTTGCCTTTAATGTCAGTAGCTGTGGTTTTGTCCCCAACCCACATGCTGACACTGTCGCACACTGAGAACTCTCCCCTGTGTAGCACAGGATGTGTGGTCCTCTTGGTCCTGGCAGTCCTGTTGAGGAATCCCGTATTCTGTCCTTGCCCTGACAGCGGGGGGGGCTGTGTGCTGAACAGCACCCGAGGAGACCTGAAACGCCTCCTAAAAAATTTTGAGTCCATGGTGATATTTATAGCTTCTCTTCCACGTATCGTCCAAGCAGAGTGGCTGTTGGATGTCTGTGGAGCTGCCTTGGTAATGTGGTGTCTGTTACTCTGGTGGGTATTGAGCAGGGAGTGTTCTGCAGGATACTCCAGTGGAGCATTGTCCTCTGACTTTGGAGCTGCCTGTGTGCCGATCAAAAAAGCTAGAATCAGAGTGTAGTACAGCATGGACATTACGCTATGCACCTAGAACAAAAGGAAAACATAATGTTACTGTAAGCCGTGCTGGCACAAACAGATGCCGTTGCTGACAAAATTATAAGATACCCAGAATCATGCAGATTTCATCAGGTATTCATGTGGATGCCAGATGTTGTTGTTCCGGAAGAGCTCATTCAGACAGCATAAATGTTCTTAATAAAGCAAGAACATTAGAAAATAATAACTAGATTATTATTAATTCCTCTGGTATTTGTTATTAGAACACTGTTTATGGAGCACTTGTTATTAATGTGGAGACCATATGGTGACAGCATGTTCCCAGGAGTAAAATCTCTAGTAATTTCTGAAGCAGTCTTTTTGTCCAGGGCTGGTCTTGTCTGCAAATACCCTGAAGAGTGGTGAGAGTAGAAGCAGTCCCTTGGCTAAAATCGCTGTCTGTTTAGCTAAGAGGTGACCTTGGTGCCAGGGTGGGGACCACTAAGTTGATATTTGTGGAAGGGGGGGGAACACCAGTGAATTGTGCCACTATGACACACTCAACAGCCATGCTTGCCTGCTGCTGGGCAGATCCCACCACTCTGGCTGGCCCAGCAGCCTCCAGCAGCTTCATCTAATCCCATCTGCCCTTTTGGGATGCCCCACATTGCTAATTTTGGGCAGATAAAACCCAGGCTTCTTCCCAGAAGAGCTCAGGAAACATGTCACAGGGGCAGATGGGATTGCTCCATGTTCAGCCTGCCTATTAGGACAAAAATGGGTATTACATAGGAGCACCGTGGGTGACGGGCTGCTTCAGGGTTGGCATCGTAGGTACAGCATAGCTAAAACTGTTGTGGCCATAGTATTGGGCATGATGTACAGGGAAACACCTTCGTTTCTTTCAGAGTGCCGTGAGCAAGAAGCGCCACAAATGTCACTGCATAGCAGATCCAGTGCCAGTGCTAGTCTTCCTTCCATCTGAAGAATGTGCACATCTGTTTGGGTGTGGAAACGTGTAAGACAAATGTCTAAAACTTTGCTAAGAACAATTTTATACTAGAAGACCAGCAGCAGTAATACCTTGTTGGGTAACTACCGTGTGTTGACTGATTCAGCCACGTGTTGGGTTAACAAATCAGCAGCGAGCCTCCTGCAAATAAGAGACATTGTATTTCCTCCGTGAAGACTTAAGCAGAGACAGGGTATAAACAGAAAAAAACCTACCAAGTGAGGCTCCTCCCCTGTCTCTCTGCCTTGTTTTGCCTGACATGTCTCAGCTGGCCCTGAATTGCAGTGTGTCAAGCCAGCAGGCAGTCAGCCGCACACAGACTGGACAAACAGGGTTTTGTAAAAGAGGAATTGGGCTCTGCAGTTCCACAGTGATTTCCCGGCATGTCTTAATGTTTTTTCTGGGTGTGGGTCAATTACTATTGAAGTTCCCCCTCTGTCTTTCTGTTCAGCTTTCTCAGACTAGAATCCCAAGCAGCATTAAAGCACTTTACCAGGACTTTAGCTTTGCTAGAGCACAGTCTCTTACAAATTGCAGAACCCTAAGATGTCCCATAGGTTCTTGTGTGGATAGTCTTATCTCTGACAAGAGCTGAAATGAAATAAAGGGCAAAATTTGTGCAGGGCTGGGCAGGCACTTAAGACATCAGCAGGAGGTGCCGAGTGAAGGTAGTGACTGAAAAGGGTGAAGATGCTACAGTCCCTGCATCAAAAGGAGAAAGGCCAAAAGCCACGTTAGCAGTTGTCTGTGCAACAGCTGGGCTGGAAGAATTGGAGATGAAATGATGATGAGGAGAGTCACATCTCTCTCACAGAGAAAATCCTTACTTTTCCAAAGCTACTTTAATTTGCTTAAAACAAGGCTGAGGCTTGCTGCTTTCCACACGCTGCTCATGCTTGAGCAGACATCATAATCTGTATAAGAAAATAGAGCTGGGTGTAGCTCAATAGCTTGACTATGCACGATTCAGAGAGTAACCCCTTGTTCTACGACCAAATTAAAATCAGATGGTTCATTACATCTCTGAAGAGTTAGCTTTCCTGACAGAAATGTTAATGGGAAAGGTTTGCAGAACAAACTCCAGGCACAATTTAAACATGCCAATAGCAGCCTCAACCTATTATGTTTATACATAAACCCTTTTTTTATTATTTCCTCCTATAGGAAAGAGACATTGCAGTGTCAGCAAAGAACTCTTTCTGGTTTTGTGCTGTACAAGATTCACTGCTCTAAAATGCAGCTACATTTATCTCCCTTCTCTGAGTTTCTTATGTTGTGTATGCTAAGATTGTTGCTTTAAGACCATTAACACAAAATCAGAAAGATCTCACCTGCTTGCTTTGGGTTTGGTGCTTGTTTGTTTGTTGTTTTTTTTTTAAAAAAAAAACCCACCAAACTTGCCTTGTGTTTCCTCTCCTTGTGGTGAAGCATTCTGTGGGGAGTGTGGCCCAAACACAGACAAAATGTATTTGGGATACGTGTTAGCTTTCCTGAAGATTCAAAATTTAATATTTTAATCAATTATTAAATTAGTGGAGAATAGAAACTGACAGATTAAAAAGGTGGATTAGACTTGATGACACCACACGCAAAAAAAATGAACATTTAAAGAATAGGTATGCCTTAGACTGTGAGGGTTGTGGACTGTTTTGCTGACACATATATTTTACAGGCTGTTTTGGGTGGTTATTGCTAAACTTTGTCACATACTTAGTTACTAGACCCTTTCATAGTGCTTTCTAGAAGTGTTCACAGTGCATGCCAAGTGCAACCACCTGAACTTTCAGGGAGACGCACAGCTGCCAATTCTAGTGCTGGCAGTACATAAGTATCTGTTAACACTGGCCACCGAAGTTATCACAGGCACTTCAATACTAAAAATACAAAAACCGTACTAAAACAGGGGATGTTTGATGAGAACTGACTTCTAAGTAGACCATCTCCCATAGTAAGTAACTGTTCCCCACAAGAGGTACAATATCTGGAGACAGAATACAAGAAGACAGAATAAGTGGAAGCTCCCATTTTAGCCAGACAATAGCTAGATAGTGGGTATCAGTGAGGCAGCTAGTTTAGTAAGTCAAAGAACTAAGCTTTTCCAAAAAATAAGAGTATTAAATGCAAACTACTCTCGTCTTCTTTCTTTAGAAGGAGAATGATTTTTTTTCAGTTCAAGATGATAACTCTCTTCCTCACTTGTATGTTGGTCAAGTGTCATTTAAACACTGCTTCTGGTATAGTGGTTCAGGCTGCTGTGTGACACTAGTAATGGACTGATTGCAGTCTGTTCTGAGAAGAGTGTGTGCGTTGCACTTACCTCTGAGTATACTGCACAAAAAACTGCTCCCCCAGCAAGGTCTTTATTTCATCCAGACACTGGGCTGGAGTTGGCTGCAGCATGCCATCAGGCCAGTTTGACTGGGTAGCTGAGTCTGGGAGTTGCTGAATTCTGTGTTCCACTAGAAATAGAAGTATTTGTTTCATTAATTAGCCAGTAAATAAGTATTTTCAGTACCATTCCCTACTTGATAGCAGGAGTACAGGGTCAAATCCACTTGATTGGCTCTCTCAACTGTGCCTTTTACACTGTTGCAGTGTGGAGGTTGTCTAAAGTGCAGCTCTTGACTTTCAAGAGGAGCACATTTGTGAGGCAGACCTACCTTTATTCAGCACCTTTGCCAGACTGTGGTTAAATATCCACTGCTCCTGATTCCCCTTGGATACCTCCCAGGCTCACAAAAACCAGGAGTGATCAGCACAGTGAAGCAATACCTGCTGATGTCGCTCTCTGAGCTCAGTTTGCACAGTACAAGTAGACAAATGAGGGCTCAGACCCACCATTATGTTTGTCTGGGAGGCAAGTCTGGTAACAAGTAAAGGCACTGCAAGTTGTGTGGCAGCAAATGCAGACGATGTAAAACTCAATGGCTGCTCTGCTTGGTTGTCCAGTTTGGTCTGTCACCAGCACTGTCACCAGTCCTGTGTCCTTTTTCTACAACAGTACTTAAAAATGGTGCACTCCTATTGTCATTACTCAAATACTCAAAACCAGAGAGATTTGTAGTCCCTGCAGGACATTAACCTGTCTGTGCCCTGTCCACAGATCTGCTCTGCGCACATCTTGGTTATGCAGTTCGTGCCCCATTCTCTTCTTATGATGTCTCAAACACTGGAAGTCCTTTAGAGACCCTGAAGGAGGGTTGCCAACATGCACACTACTGTGCATTGTGAACAGCCAGCGGGCAGTAACTTTTGTTTCTCCTTTGAGTTTTTGTCAGCACATAGGGTAATGTTGTCAGTGACTATAATATTCCATATGGAATACCGGCTACCTGAAGAATAGTTCTAGCCTCCCCCCCCTCCCCCTTTTGAGCTAAGTGTGAAGAAATGCAGTTGAAAAGTTGTCTGGGTTGTTTTGTAGTAGCATCACACTCGGTGGAAGTGAGTAGAGGAAAAACAGTGTGCAGCTCAGCAGACGGGAGTGATGAAAGATCTCGCAGGTTGTCCAGTTATAGCGACTGGACTCTGCTGATTGTTTGGATCACGAGTTCCACTTGAGCAATTGCATAAGAGACTGCTGAGGGTCTGTTTAATGAAGAGATTATGCCTGAGATCTTTCATACACACATGGAAAAAGAAAAAAAAATAAAAATTCTAAGGCTCTGACACTGCCAGAGCAAAAAGACACTCTGTGCTAAAAGCTAACAAATTGGTCAGCCTCACCACTGAATGTCTGCAATCTTAGAAAAAAAAACCCAGAAAATCAGTATGCTGTACGAAATTAAACCTGGAGAGAGGCCTGAGATGGTGTTTTAGGGGGTGAACCAAGTGTGTCCTTATGTGATGTAATCTCTTAATCAGGACCTTTGTGCAAACTAGCACTTGTGAGGTGAAAAGAGAATGAGTGGCTCTCTTTCTGTTCTAGGTAGGCTTCTTTTTTTCACTAGTATTCAGGCAGGAGTCAGGTGAGGACCAGAGACATGCTTGAGTCTTCATGGTTTAGGAGAGAATCTGAAGACCTTTCACAAGACAAAGGCCTTAAATTTGCATTTTTTTGGGGGTAATTCAAAGTGGGTCCAAGTGATCTCTTTGACTGGGATACTCTTCATTGAGGCAACGTAAACTGTAGACCTGCTCCCAGATTTAGGAGAAATTGGCCTGAAGTTAAGGGTAGCTGCTGAAGCCTATTGAGGAAGAGGGAAGCCATGGGCTGAAAGCAACAGCTACAACAGGGAAATCTTGGTCAATTCAGATGATCAGAAGGAGAATCGCAGATTGCCATTTGTTGGCAGAGAATTATCTGATCATGGCTGATACTTGAGAAGAACTGAAGATACAAAACTTGTAGATGCATGAAGGCATATACTTAAATGCTTATCCTCTGGCTACTGTAAAGGCAGAAATAACTCCAGTCTTAATTACTTCAATATGAATGGTCATCTAGACCCCAAATCAAAGGAAAACCATTATTTTCTTTAACAATTAAATCCAG